TGTGAAATGTACCTTTATAAGTATACAGGACTGTCTATTGTGCTGCTTCAGCTACTCCTTAAGTTGCGTTCCTGATCGCTGAAAAGCTTAAATTTAGCTCAACACTGCCCTCTTGTGGAACTAAGGGCTTCCTTCCCACACAAAGGTCAGAAGGGAACAGCAAATGTAGCATTTTTGGGGGGTCATCTGAATGCTAACGTGTGTGCGGCACTCTTTCACGGGCCACCAAAAAAAACCACCCGTCCCACCAAAAGCTTATTTTGTAAAGAGGACAAATGAGGTAATATGATCCAGAACAGTCATTGTGGGTAAAGGCAGGAAAGTACAGGCAGTCCTTGACTTACAACAGTTTATTTAGTGACCTTTTGGGGTTACGACGGCACTGAAAAAAGTGACATGACCATTGCAGCATCTCTAGGATCATGGGATTTACATTCAGATGCTTGACAACTGACTCATATTTATGACGGTGGCAGGGGCCATGTTTGGCGACCTTCTAACCAGCGAAGTCCATGGGGAAGCCAGATTCACTTAACAACCGTGTTACTAACTTAACAACTGCGGTGATTCACTTAAAAAACATGGCAAGAAAAGCCGTAAAATGGGGGCAAAACTTACTTAAATTTCTCACTTAGCAACATAAATTTTGGGCTCAATTGTGGTCATAAGTTGAGGACTACGTGTATCACAAAGAACAGGGGTGTCAAACTCGATTTCATTGTACAAACGAAGCCATAGGTGCCCTAAGCACGTGCTTAGTGTGCTTAATTAATACACCACTGACTGGTGGGAGCACAAAACAGACCAAGTAATAGAAAAGGAAGACGTTAAAGTGCCCTGGGACTTTAGAATTTAAATAAACAAGCATCTACCACATAAAACACCCAAATTTAACAATTGTCAATAAGAAAGACAAAAAAAAAAATCTAGAGTGGCTGTTGAAATACCTGAAGATAACAGAAGAGAATAGAAAGAACTGGAGAATATCATGAAGTATAAAAACCTGCCAATAGAATGACTGTGGCAAAATAAAGCAAAGGTAGTACCAGTGCTAATATGTACCTAATATGTCCCAAAACACCTGAAGCACCACTCGATTAGTATTGATGAAATCATCCTTGGTCAATTGCAAAAGTCAGCTTCACTTGTACCAGTTTATCCCCACTCCCTGTGAGGTAACTTTTAACCTTATAGCAAACAAACAAATAAATAAATATCTTACTTATCCCAAATTTTTGGGAAGGATTCCGTAAGTGGACAAAAATGCCAAATCCAGTCTAAACGTTTGGCTGTGTGACCAATCATAACAATTTCTTAAATTTATATGCTACTCGATTCCTACGACTCTGGACGATTTACAAATACAAAATCATTTAAAAACAAGAGAAAAAATAGCATAGGTAAGGAACATGAGATTTGGTAAACTTTGGGGATGTAAGACATGGGGGGGGGGGACTTTAAACAGGGCTGTATTCCATATGCTGAAAATTCTGTGCCCAGTCAGTAAGTTTGAGGGTGGTAATTATATGATCCAATCAGCCCTCTCTGACTCTAGGCAATTCTATGGGCCATGTCTTTCCACATCTTCTGATCCTGCACTACTTGAGTTGTTCTAACATTAAAAATGCAAATACTACCAACAGATACCCTCCTGAACAGACCCTCAATATTGATAGGAAGAACATACATTTAAGTAATATAAAAATGGGGATTGAAATCCAACTGCCGACTCAACATTAAGTGTGATTGTAATAGAAATCTGCCTGCCTTTCCCTCTGGCAATTTCAAACATTCTTAACCACCAGGCTGTGTTGAGCAAGAGGAACAAATGTCTACTACCAGTACTGAAGAAACTTCTTGGATGAGAAGCGAAACGTCTTCAAAGAAAAACAAAAAGTCCAGTTGCCTTTTGGAAAAGCACCTTTGGGATAACCATGATATCTGGATGATGGAGATTTTCCATAGACAAACAAAATTCTACTACCTGAGCAAAAATCTATTTGCACAAAATTGGATTTTATCCTGATTGCTTTTAATTAGGAAATTTTTCAAACCAAACCACACACTTAATTCATATTAAATTTGATTTAATTCAGTAGGATGCACTTTTGAGTATGCAATTAAAAAGACAAAGCCTCTTGGGGTTTTTTTTTTTTTGTATCCAAACAAAACTGAAGAGATTTCTAGCCTAAAAATTGCTTTCCCTTTAAAGAGCCTTTAAATGGCACAATTTTCTTCCATTTGTTCTACACATGCTAACCCTGCCTCCCTTGTGTTTTAAGGAATCCTTCAAAGTTCCATATACTGTAAAAAAAAATCACAAGTTATTACTCACCCTACATATAATGTATTTATAATTTATTGCAATCACTGTTCCAAAACATATCCAATTTTAATCCAGTTTTAATGAAATATGTTTTATTATCCATTTAGTAACCCCTGCCTGTTTTCTCTAAATATGGGTGTGAACGCTGCCAAAATACCATATGTCTATGATGAGAGCATCAACTACCATTTGCCTTATATCAGGCAACAGCCATGAACAATGAAAACAGGAATTGCATGTATATCCAGTTCTCTACATCTGTGGTTTCCAAAGTGGTATGTCTACACCCCAGAGGTGTGCAAAATTATGCATTGAGGTTCAGGAAGAAAATATTAAAATATCTATTGTGTTTATTTTTATCCAAAAATAGGAAATTAATCTATTCTAAAAGTATACAAACTATATCAAGGGTCTATGTTTTATAATGTACATATTGATACAAAGTACACGGATATCATTTATAAATCAATAAACAAACACATATTGGGAGGGCATGATCAAAAATGTTTTATTGATAAGGGTACAGAATAAAACAAGTTTGTGGAGAGACCACTTTTCTAGATTATCTCTTATATTTCAAACTCACTTTTAAGAAAGATGTTCCAAAGGAAGTACTTTTTTACAGTACAACAATGAAGTCACTTGTTCATCAACAGAAAACCAAGTGGATTTTGCATAAAAACTTACTGAATTTCAAAATACCATCAAGATACCAAACTTGAGGCCTTAATCAAGTGGTTACAACCCAGAGAAAATTTGTCACTATTATGTATAAAATAAAGAAGCACAGCACAGGTGCTTTCAGACTCATTGTTATTATATACCTGAGAATGATCGGATCTCCTAACCTTTAAAAGAAAAAAGAAAAAAAAAGCAGCCATGTGAAAATGTGTTCCCAGCATGTCACCACAGAATGTGCTATACATAAAAGTATTTAAGAGAAAGAAATAACTGCACAATTGCAAGTAAAGTCAAGAAAATTCACATTTCTCTCCCCCTCCCCCCGAATGAGATGTTAAATACTTTTTTGTTGGTATAATTGAACAGCTGGATACTAGAATTACTCTAATTAAACAGTGCCCACGATTACTTGTTTACTAGAAAAATCATCCCCATACTCCCCCCCAACAAAATGAGACACATACAAGGAAGAAATTTTACATTTCATAAATGTTCACTTTCGTTTTTTCAGATTATCTGTACAGCCTTGTGCAGTTCTTCAAACAGGCCAACTTCATGTTAAATGTATGTAGATGATTACCAGAAGTTGTAATTTTTTTGATGTTGCTGATACAAGACAGAAACCATCAAAGAAAATACTTAAATAATTATATGAGACTGTCTAATCCTAAAAGCATTATTTCCAAAACTCAAAAGCTTGTGTCCCAAATTGCTAAAGTAATTTGATAAGAAGTATTACTGATTCTATTTTTATTTTCTGGTAACACTATAAACAAATATTTCAAGATTCAAAGCTTGATAGGAATAGCAATTGAGAATTGTAAACTAAGGGAAAAATAGGTAACTTTTTAAATAAAAGAAAATAAAAATAAAGATATCTGTGGCCTTTCATCATGCATTTTACAATATCCAGAACACTACAAATTTTGCTGCCGGTTCATCGATATACAACTTCCAATTTTTAGCAGGATGATTTCCCTAATTGTTGGTTTGTTTTGTTTTTAAAAGGGGGGGGGAATCATCCTTTAACCTTCTGCTCTTCCACCAATCTCCATCCCATTCTTAGCTCTGTCAACTGCATTTTTCAGAGTCCTCCCAATAAACCTGAAACCCCTAGAAGCAAAATGGGTGTGAACTCCTGGCAATCATTTAGGAATACCAATAACTTGCTAACAAACCTCTTGCCTATCCCCCCTATAACAACCTAAAGGCCTCAAAAATAGCTGCCTCAAATCACTCAGAAGTCGGAGCTTGTTCCAACTCAAGGCAACCCAAAATTGTATGGGATTAAGGTCTGTGCTGGTCATCAGCTGGCAAGAGATGGAGGAACTGGCAAAATACAACTGTATCATTGCTGTGCTGCTGACTTCATCTGCATTCATTTTGCCAACGGTTGGCCAATGAAATGTGCCTCAAGCCCTCGGGGGGGAAAACTTCTCTTGATAATCACTAAGGTAGACTGTCCCAACTTTGAAAAATACAGATGCATCTTCCATTCTTCAACTGCAGGAACCAAACTCTGTAGCTCAAAGGGGGAACACTGAATTGCCTTGTCCTAAAATGGGGGACCAGGCCATGCTGACAGAGCCTTGAGGCACTCACTCACAAACAGGCATGGGACTAGGCCAGTCCAGAGCTTCCCCACAGTGATAAAGCTGTCTCAATCAACTCACTTTGGAAAAGTTCCACACAGCCAGTGGCTCCCAACTGGGAAAGATGGCCCCATTTATTTAATGCTCCATGCAACATTTCTGGCACTGCATCAAGGAACGGAGCAATCACTGGCAAAGGAACAAAACGTCCAGTTTAATTCCACAATCGAACACAGATATTTACCCAGCTTGGTCCATCAGCAACTGTGAAACTTTGATTGCAAGAAATGTTTTTCTTTTCTTGTTTACAACTATATCTTGGCTTTGTATCCAGGGATAGAAATGCATGTTTTTGTTTTTGCGTATGCTAGAAAACAACAACAACTTATTTGTAGCCTGTATTTCCGCCCAAACTACTAAGCCGTGGCTGATTATTTATCCGACATCTCGTCTTATACCAGCCCACCTCTTAAATTTAAAGCATTTAAATACAAAAGAGAGGATTCTTTCAAAAGCAACGTTAAAAGCTCCAAATTCATAGGACTGACTGCAGGATCATCTACAGGGTCAGTCAAAAAATAAATAAATAAATAGTGAGATAATTGGAGCCCCCCTTTTTTTTCTCTTGCATCACAAAAAAAAGGGGGGCAGGGCTAAACTTTTAACCACATGGCCCATGAGCACCATTTTGATTTCACAGACTCACTAACAGATATTTTAACAAATGTTCAAATATTTCAGAATCTGGGGAACACCCCAACTCATGCACAATTTAAGAAGCTTTCAAACACCTGCAAGAAGCCAAAGCCCTATTTTTTCGCTACCCTTGACATTTAGTGATATCTGCTTAAAAATGGAAGTGAATAATGAGGCTTGATTGCTCTCTACATAAACTATCTCCTAAAAGTGTGTCATGGAAACAACAGGCAAAAAACAAAAAGAAAAAACAAACCCAGACGGATAATTAAACTCAAACCTTTCCAAGTTCATTTGTTTGCTTGCAAAGAACATGGAATTAAAATAGAGATTAACAGATAAACTGTTTGGTTGTTGTTGTTTTTTGTCAGAAATTGGGTAGATTGCTGAATTGCTCTCCTTCCCAGAACTCGGCTGAAATATTACTTAACTGCCTGGAGACCAAGTAAAACCTCACAACCAGTCATTTCAAAGACATTTTTTTTTCCTTCACTGGCTTTTCTCCCACATCTTGCAGTAAACCAGTCTCCAAAGAGTGAACTATTATATATGGATTGAAAAAACAACAACCACCCCTGTCGTTTGTTTATCATATTTTGATGGATTAAGAAGAGAGCCAGCTTCTCAAGGATTGCACTCCTTTTAAACTGACCGCGGAGTTTAAAGGGATTTCATTTGCTCAATTAATGTGTAAATATACACCGGCAGCAGAGGAGGGAACAGCTGCAAAGCAATTCTATTAAATCCTTAATACACAAATCCGGTGATTATTTCCCAACCAGAACACAGCCAACAACACACCTGCAGAGACGGACACCCTTGCTTACTGTGGCAGGGCAAGATGCCACCCAGTTCCTGGCCCACCGAGAGTGTGACAGGCAGTCAAAGCAGAAGAGAAATAACTTTACTTTTTTGGAGGGAATGGGGAGGTGCACTTGTGGAAATACAGGCTTTCTGCTTTCCTCGTTGGACGGATTCAGGCATTTCTTAGGCCCCTCAGAACAAACTTTTTTTTTGAGATTCTGCTCTGACCCCCCGTCATCAGGTGTCCTTTGCTTCCGCAAGGACCTCCCTCTTGGGCAATCTTCCCGCAAGAGATTCGGGCCTTTTGAAGAAACAGCAGTTAAAGAGGACAGGACGCTTCCGTTGCCTTTCAAGTGATCTTGAGGGGAGACTTCTTGTGAGCACAGAGGAGAGTGACGTAGGGCACCCCGATGAATGCCCACTTCTCACTGGGCCAGAACTTGATGACGGGGCCTTGCTCGGGGATCTCAGAGACAGCATCAAAATAGGCAAAGCAGACGCAGCCCAGGTAAGCTGCAATACAGATGAGGATGTGCCTGGAAGAGAGAGAAGCAGAAGGGCTACGGTTTGCTTCGATTTCAGGTCTTAAAACACAGAATTATTCCAGTTGGAAGGGACCTCGGAGGTCTTCTAGTCCAACCCTGACAGAGCTAGAGCCGGAAACCCTATTATCATTTTAGACAAATGGTTGTCCAGTCTTGGGTTGGTTTTTTTGTTTTTTGTTTTGAAGCCTTCAGTGATGGAGCTACCCACAACTTTTGAAGGCAAAAGCTGTTCCACTGGTTGATTGCTCTCACCATTAGGAAATTTCTTAGTTCTAGGTTGCCTCTTTCCTTGGTTAGTTTCCATCCATTCGTTGTTTCTTGTCTTTTGGTGCTTTGGAAATGTTTGACCTCCCTCATGTTTGTGGGAACCCCCTACAAATTTTGGAAGAATGCTATCAAGTCCCCCCAGTCCTTCTTTTCATTAGACTAGAGACATGCCTAATTCCAGCCCCCTAATCACTTTTGCTGATCCTCTCTGCATTGTTTCACAAGGAGAGGCAACGCTTGAGACATAAGACATAAGAATTTATTTGTCATTACACTCGCAAGCGGGTGCAACGAAATGAGGTGCTCTTCCACAAAGTAAAAACTGGACAAACACCACTAAAAAGAAAAAAATTAAACTAAACACAACCAACCATACAATCATCTCTATGCAATTTAAAAATGTAAATACCCCATTACTCTCAGCCATTTAATTCCACAAAAATCTTATGACCCTGCATTCAAACTCAAAACTGCACTTGGATAAAAACTGTTCTTAAATCTGGTCGTCCTTGTTCTTAATACCCTAAATCTCCTTCTCGATGGTAATAGTTCAAAGAGCTGATGTCCCGGATGAGAGGAGTCATTCAATATATTAAGTATCTTCCTCTTACGTCTATTCCTATACAGTTCTTCCAAAGAGGGGAGTGAGCAGCCAATGATGTTTTGGGCCGTCTTGATCACCCTCTGAATTGCCTTTTTCTCTGCCACTGTGCAGCTGGAGAACCATACACAGAGACAGTAGGATAATATACTCTCAATCGAACTCCGATAGAAGGTAGTCAGTAGACTCTCAGCCAGTTGTTGTTTCCTAAGAATCCTTAGTAAATACAACCGTTGTTGTGCCTTTTTAATTAAAGCAGCGGTGTTTGCACTCCAGGTCAGGTTATTTGTAATGATGGTCCCGAGAAACTTACATTCAACCACCTGTTCCACACGAACTCCCTCTATATACAGTGGCTGAATGTCTGCTCTTTTTTTCCTATAGTCCACTATAACCTCCTTGGTCAGTGGAAGTAGTAAACTTACACACTTTTGCAGGGAAGAGAAACTACGAAGCTTTCTCAAGAAATGGGAAAGCTTTTGTAAAAGTTTTTATTTTTATACTACTCACACAGCAACCCAGAAAACATTCAGTAGCTGCTCTGCCATCTGTTGCACTCTGGAAACAGGGTGTAAAACAGACTATGTGCGTTGTGTCAAGGCAAGCTTGGATCCCAGGGCTCAACTCGAGGATGTTAACACATTTATATGTGCATCAGCAATTTTTTTCACCTCTGGAAAGAAGGCAAATTAACTTCCTTTCTCAGAGATGCTTATTTGACAGTTTGCAATTATGAATCAGCTGATTTTCTGAGTATTGAGTCTCTGATTTATGGGAAATAGGGTTCAAATCAGGATTTAAAGCAGAAATGGAAGTAATCCTTGGTTTGTGGGCCACTTGGAACCACTGGACTATTTTTAATAATGATTGTAGCTGGAGAATCATGTTTTAAAACAGAGGTGTCCAATCTTGACAACTCTGAGACTTGTGGACTTTAACTCCCAGAGTTCCTCAGTCAGCATAGCTAGTTGGGGAATTCTGGGAGTTGAAGTCAACAGATGTTAAAGTTGTCAAGGTTGGACATTCCTGGTTTAAACTTTAGAACAGACTTCCAGCATTGTCCTCTCAATATTCCACCCCTAGCTACAGCATCCCTGCAAAATCTCAGAAAAATCTTTGCCCCTCATGTAATCCCTCTGCTCTCTTGTGTCATTGTTCAGCCTATTGTAATTTGTAGCACTTCCACCCAAAAATATCAGCCTCTAGTTATGGAAGGAGGCCCAGCAATTTCCTTTTTGGAAATCTTAAAACACCATGATATGCTACTGTCAGAACACAAATGGGGGAGCAGAAATATATTTTTCTGCCAGAATTTATTTTGTTAATGCTGTCTAACTTGATTGATTCATGGAACAAACTAATCACCAAAAACACCTTACGCAAAATCTGTTTTTAATAAAGAATAAATTTAGGACTTACCATACACAGTGTAAATAAGGAAATTTTAAAGATGACCAAATCTCGCAAAATACTTTGTCACTAATCCAACAAAATAGTGCCAACATCCACCATAGGCCAGAAAACAATCCCAGCTTATATACTCGGACGTTGTCACACCTAGAAGGAAAAGTGATAACTGATATACTATTGGCAATAGTGTAAATCAGTGATCCCCAACCTTTTTGACGCCGCGGCCCGGTACCGGCATCAGCTGGGCGCCGCGGCCCGGTACCGGCATCAGCTGGGCGCCGCCATCTTTTTTTGATGAAAACGTGCTTCCGGTGAGCTTTCTACCCGGAAAAGCTCACCGGAAGCACTTTTTCATGAAAAAAAGATGGCGGCGCCCAGCAAGCCGTGGCCCGGTAGGAGTTGTTCCGCGGCCCGGTACCGGTCCGCGGACCGGTGGTTGGGGACCCCTGGTGTAAATGAATAAAACAGAAGTTTTAAATCAAGCCAAGTCAACCTAGATTATAAATCAAAAGACAGTTTTTGGTTAAATCTGTTGAATTACTGAATGACACAAATGAAATATCAACAGTAGGAATGTCTACAGGTTAGGAACCAAAAAATCAAAATGAACTGATCAAAGCTCTACCCAAAAAGCAAACAGCTATGTAGCCACTACCTTTTGGGACCATAGCTAATCAGAAGCATGCAAGCAACCAAATTTCAATTGTAAGAGATGTCATAGCATTTGATCTTAATGGACTTGAATTCTTCTAGCTAAAACGGTAAATTTGAAGTGTTTTGCTTCCTTTTGAACCTATCACTTAGGGCTGTCGAACTCACGGCCTGTGGGCTGGATGCATCACGCTCTGGCCACGCCCACCCCCGGTTTAGCGAAGGGGAGAAAAGTCATAATACGTCATATGACGCTGCTGTGATGACGAGAGTTTGACACCCCTGACCTAAGGTTATTTATTACTGCAATAACACGTGGGAGGAAGATGATTTTTGCTTACTGAGAAGGAAATCTAACATCTATCAGATATCTTCCATCAATTCAATTTTGTACATATATGGTTTCTATTAATTGCATATGTGCGTTCTTTACATCGGGGCCCTCAACCCTCCGGTCCACGGACTGGCACGGGGCCATGGCTTGCTAGCAACTGGGCTGTGCAAACAAGAGAAGCCCCATCTATGGGATGCAGGCAACATGTGAAACCACGCCTCCTCTGGTCCTCAGAAAAAAAACTCTCTTCATGGAACTGATCCCTGGTACCCAAAAGTTTGGGGGGGCGGGCGCTGCTTTACACGGCACCACTTCACTGGTCCATAACTTACAATTTTGATATTTTGGGGGGGGAACATTTACCAGAGATGGTTTGAATTTTGATTTGATGTCCCGTGCTGTGGCATCTAGTCCATGTTCTGTACTTAGGGCAATTTTATGTTTTGTATTTAACATCAGAGTTTCTAAAGCCTCAAAACGGAGCTCAGACCACCATGTTGCACTAGAGCAGGGGTGTCCAACCTTGGCAACTTTAAGACTTGTGGACTTCAACTCTCAGAATTCCTCAGCCAGCAAAGCTGGCTGAGGAATTCTGGGAGTTGAAGTCCACAAGTCTTAAAGTTGCCAAGGCTGGACACCCCTGCACTAGAGGTACTAACTTCATCTTAAGTTATGTATTAAGCAAGTTGTGGGGGGGTGGGGGAGAGAAGAGAGTAAGAGTATTTCTCCTAGGGCCATACCACCCCTGAAAAAGCCAAATGACAACTTCCAACCAGAAACGGGATGAGGTTGTGCTGGAATGCACCAGCATTGGAGAGCCTGTGTGGTCTAGTGGTTAAGGTACCAGGCTAGAAAGTGGGAGGCTGTCAGTTCTAGTCCTGCCTTAGCCATGGGTGACCTTGGGCCAGCTCCTCCTGCTCAGCCCAACTCCCCTCACAAGGTTGTGGTTGGGTGGAACCGAGGAGGAGGAAGGCGTGTGGGATATTTTTGCCACCTTGAGTTATTTCTAAAAATAATAAAGGCGGCGGCGGGGGGGGTGTGTCTAAATAAATGAATTAAACACAATTTATCTGCCTCGCTTCAGCCAGTCTGGTACATACCTTTTAAGTTCTGCAATAAGCAGGGCGCTGCAGGGAAGACCTAATGTCATCAAGGAGATGTTATTGATGGCGGGCTTAACAAAGGCGAGGCATGTAGTGACTCCAGAAAGAATGCCCACTGCAGCTTTGAACCGGCCTCTGCAAAACATATGTATTTTTAAACAGGGTCACTCTGGGATGAAATAAAGGTGTCAAAAACTATTTGCTCAGTATAATTGATGCTTCAAGTCGTTCAAGAGAAGAAAAACAGAGACAGGTTTTGCAAACTCAAATGCCTTTGTTTTAAGGCACTACGTAGAATCTGGAGGACCACATACTTTACTTACTTAGAACATGGGTTTTGTTTGCAAAAAATGTAGAAGTACTGTAGTCCGTGACTTACGGCTGGGAAATTTGGTCGTGAGTTGTTGCACTCACCACATGATCAGACTTGATTTTATATCCGTTTTTACAACGGCTGGTAAGTGAATCAGGCGGATTGAATCCAGCTTATCCAACGTCAGAAAATGGCAAAAAAAAAAAAAAAGAAGAGTCACAAAACATAACAGGGTCACCCACACCCTTTTGCACTACTCAGGTGACCCTGAGGATACAGATAAACCTCCAGGCGACCTAAAGAATGCAAATGACCAGCTGACTGCAAGGAATATAAATCTTTCCATTCCCTGCTATCCTGTCAGAGCTGAAGAAATTGCTTGGATGAGAAGTGAAACATATTCAAAAGAAGAAAGTCCAACAGTTGCCTCCTGAAAAAGCACCTTTGCGTCAACCATGACCTGGATAGCTGGGACTCTCCATAGACTTTTAACCAGTCATAAAAGTGTCAGTTTTCACGTGTCCAAAACGCAACTGAGCAGGAAGCAGGAAGTGCAGCACTTGTAACTTTGAGAACAAAGATCGTAGGCCCATTATAACTTTGAAAGGTCATTAAGCAATTGATCACAAGTCAAAGATTGCCTGTAATAAAATGAGGGAACATGATTCCAGGCTGATAAATCGCTTTACTCGTTCTGCCTGCTCCTACATCATGTTGTCCTATTACCTATCTGCAGTCTAAGTTGCACAAGGCTTTGTACACTCTAGTAAGCACCCTGAATTGTGTTTAAGAAAGCAAAAAGCAAAGTGAGTTGTTTGATCATTTCCAAGGTAGTTCTAGTCATCATCACACTCATCACTGCACAACTTTCTGTGCCAAGTACAATTTTGGCACTGACTTTATGGGGTGGCCACATGAAGATAATTCTGAGGATATGAGTGCATGAACCACTGATGCTAGGTAGCAAGTTGTGGATTGCCTGTATGCGTTGAAGCTACAAGATGAAGCCAAACAATGAACTTGATTTAGGAAATCAGAACATATCAACAGCTCTCCCTTTAAATGATATTCCATGATGCTGTTGATACTCCAAAGTGCTAAATTTTGTTGTAAGTGGCAAAAGGTAAACTTATAATTGGTCCTCTGAGAATTACAGCAGAACTGGTAGAAGAGTTTATGGATTAGCACCCGATTCTTACTACACAGGCGGCTGTAAACAGAACCGGCACCCTACTGCCTATTTCAACTGCTTATTTGTGAGACAGTAGCAAAATGTTATTGTTCCTTTGAAAAGAAGTATATGAAATTACACTAACAGAGACAGTGGAAATTATTGTCTGGTGAACAAGAAAAAAAGGCATGTTTGCTGGGGGAAAATAACAGATAACAGATAATCAGAGTTGGAAGGGACCTTGTAGGTCATCTAGTCCAACTCCCCAATCTCTTCTTGAAAGTCTCAAGTGATGGTGCTCCCACAACTTCCGAGGGCAAGCTGTTCCATTGGTTGATTGTTCTCACTGTCAGAAAGTTTCTGCCTATTTCCAGGTTAAATCTCTCCTTGTTTAGTTTTCATCCATTATTCATTGTCTGGACTACAGGTGCCTTGGAAAATAGCTTGATCCTTTCCCCTCTGTGGCAGCCCCTCAAATATTGGAAGACTGCTATCATGTCTCTCCCCTGGTCCTTCTCTTTACTAGACTAGCCAGGCCCAGTTCCTGTAACCGTTCTTCGTATGCCTTAGTCTCCAGTCCCCTAATCATCCTGGTTGCTCTTCTCTGTACTTTTTCTAGAGCCTCAACATCTTTTTTATAATGTGGTGGACAAAACTGGATGCAAGGATGCAAGGATAATATTGTATTATGTGTATACAAAAAGAAAAATCATTACAAAAACTGTAGTCACAGAGCACAGACTATAGATAATATTCAAAGAGAAAATGCAGAACAATTTTGGAACTCAAAAATAATTGCTTTAGAAGTGAAAGACAGGGAGAAACGTAAGAGGCTGCAGCAGAGGGATTAGAATTAAAAACAAAAGTAACAATATAACTCTGGATGAAACTGAAGGGAGAGAGAGCTTAAAGGGATATTTTATAGATTTTTTAATGGGAATTACAGGGAACTGGTTTGGTGTAGTGGTTTATGGCAGGGTCTCCAACCTTAGCAACTTTAAGACTTGTGGACTTCAACTCCCAGAATTCCTCAGCCAGAAAGGCTGAGGAATTCTGGGAGTTGAAGTCCACAAGTCTTAAAGTTGCTAAGGTTGGAGACCCCTGGTTTAAGGCATCATCTAAAAAATGGGAAATTTTGAGTTTTAGTCCTGCCATGGGCACCAAGCCAGCTGAGAGGCCTTGGACCAGTCACTCTCTCTGCCCTCAGAAGCAGGCAATGAGAGTCAAGACTGCAGAGAATTAAAAAAAAACACTGGGTTATTGCGCCCACCCATGATAAAAAACAGGTAATAAAAGCTGCGTGAACATTGATATTTTGGAAGCAGGAAAAACTGACGTCCTGGAGAGAAGTAAGGAAGAAAAAAAAAGGCAGTATACAATGTCGAAACAAGCCTCAGGAAATACAGGTATGACCACAATTGAACCCAACATTTCTGTCGCTAAATGAGGCAGTTGTTAAGTGAGCTTTGCCTCATTTTACGGCCTTTCTTGCCACAATTGTTAAGTGAATCACTGTCGCTAAGCTGATTGTTAAGCAAATCCACGAACTGCTTGTCAGAAACACTCAAAAGGCGACCCCTTGACACTGGGCACTTCAAAGGTCATAAATATGAGTCAATTGCCAAGGGTCTGAATTTTGATCACGTGACTGTGGGGATGCGGTTGTGTGAAAAACGGCGATACGTCACTTTTTTTCAGTGCCCTGGTTAAGTTCGAACGATCACTAAATGAACAGTTGTTAAGTCGAGGATTACCTGTAAAGCAAAAAACCCTGAGGTTGGTCTGACTTCCATTAGCTGTGAAAGAGGGAATGGTTTTAGATAGACCTGAATTAGAAAAGGACTTCCAAAGCAGATTTTGGCAGCAAGGCCAGGATCTAGCAGCGGGGATGAAGGAGAAGTGCAAAAGTGCAAGGCATCCCCCCATATCATAACCAGAGGATTTTTAGCAAGGCTGAACTGCCCACCATCGTAAAATTCTCCGTAAAAATCCTTGCACTCTTACACTTTTATTTTCTGAATGGGACTTCTGTAGCTGTGCTTGGCTCAGCCTGTCTTGCTGGCCATCGACGGGGGCAGCGTTTGCTCAATGGCAGATCCAGTATCTCAAGCTGCTCCTACCATCGCAACAATAATCCTCAATCAATGTCAGCCACAACACTCACACCGGTTAGGGCTCAACCACAATGCTACCCCAGAGTGACAGTAATGCTGAAGCATAGAAATGTTGTGGACCACCAAAAGGATGGAGACTTCTCCACCAAAGATCTACATTCCCAGACATGGGTGTGTGTGTGTGTGTGTGTGTGTGTGTGTGTGTGTGTGTGTGTATACTATGAGTGTCTGTCCATCCATCCATCCATCCAACCTGGAAATAAGGAGAAATTTTCTGACAGTGACAGAATAATCAACCAATGGAACAGCTTGCCTTCAGAAGTTATGGGAGCTTCATCACTGGAAGCTTTCAAAAGCGATTGTACTGCCATCTGTCAAAAATGGGGTAGGGTCTCCTGTTTGAGCAGGGGGTTGGAGTAGATGACTTGCAAAATCCCTGCCAACTCTGTTAATCTGTATCCTGTCTGTCTGTCTGTCTGTCTGCCTGTCTGCCTGTCCATACATGCATATGCATATATATTTAATTACTGACTTCTGTTCAATAAATCACCAACCTAGAAACTGTCTCTGAAGGGCTGGCTATAAATCCCTAAAGTAAAGGGTAATTTCTCTAATCCAGATTGCCTGATGACAATGGGAGCTGCAGTTTAATCGATGTAAAAGGTGCTACACTGGGGGAAGACTAAGCTATTTTTCGTAATTTGTCACATGGCAAATAAATCCTTGGTGAATAATCGGCCATATATTTATGAGAGACAGAACGAAAGAAAAAGATTAATCGCAAATATAATATCTGCGCTCCTCTCGTCTTTGCTCTGGGGCTCAAAGCTACACGTTAATCTTATAATCTTTTGGGGAAGAGTTGCTGAGGGATTAGACCAACCATCTCTAACCCAATTCTCTCTCATGACCCCAGCAACCGCCAACAAACATGCCACTGGGAAAATCCTAAGCCCTTTTCATAGCTTTTTTCCTTGTGTCAGTATTTTAGCCTGCTCGTATTCTTCTATATAACATTATGAGGAGCATCCTAAGTACAGAGGAATCGGTGGCAGCTATGATGTACATTGTACAGTATTGAAGAATACAGGCAGAAAAACTAGATTTCAGGAAGACCAAATTCACCCAGAACGAACAGGTTTAGCCACATTATCCTGTGGGAATGTAATTATATATTACTAAAACTCTCGTTGTCATGACTTTTAACTGGGCAAACCAGGCAAATCCTAGGGCACCAACTTTAAACCAAGATACCTCAAATGAGCTAACTTATAGTATGTGTCCAAAATCCAGACCCATGATTTTTGAGGGAGTGAAATTTGGGGAAGTTGTGGCTGTTTCAGAGCTAATGGCTGCTGCTGCACTGCTATGGTCACGTGAATTTCATTTTCAACATTTCGTGACAGTTTCCCAGCCAGTCCAGCAATCCCTTGCTCCTCCTCCACCCAGCAGCAGACACTTGACTTGGTGAAAGAGAAGGGAATAGGAAAGAATAGGGAAGGAAGAAAGGGAGGAGGAAGGGCCTTGTAGCCTTCCTGACCCATACTGACCCCCATGCAACATCCCCAACCTGCATGGCACATCTCTCATACTCTCAAGCATCCCCAGGCACCCTTCTCTACCCGCAACCTCCCCATGTGCCCTCCCTCATCTACAAGGCACCTCTCACACAGCCCTGTGACCCAGACCCTTCGTGACCTGTGCCACTTTTGCATGCCCTACTTGACCAATGTGGCATCTCTTACACACACACACACACACACTCTTCCTGAACTGAGCTCTTCCTCTTGCACATTCCCGTGCACTTCCTGACTCACAGCCTAGCATACCACTTGCAGGAGGTAGGGAAAGGCAGAGGTAGGGAAAGGAAGGGGATTTCTAATGCTGCCCAAGTTTTCCACAAGGAAACTCAATAGGAAGTTGGAAGTGGCTCCCACTCCCACTCTTTAGCCCATCCATGGTCTTTCTGTTTCTCTGTTTAAGTAAGGAAATATCTCTGAACCAATGACCCACTGAGACATGGATTTACTTTATTCATATCCCACATGTATTGTTTTTATAGGCATCTCAAAGCAGCGATCATACCTAATACTCCTTACTCCTCCTATTTTCCCTCCTCTTACAACATCCCTGTGAGTTGGCTTGAGAGTGTGTGACTGATCCAAGATCACCTAGGCCCATGATGGCGAACCTATGGCACGCATGCCACAGGTGGCACGCAAAGCCATTTGTGCCAGCACGCGAGCTGCAGGCAAACTTACCTCACTGGGCATAAGCGTACCTCACAGTTGATTTTCGGCCTCCCAAAGGAGGCTTCTGTAGGCTTTGCAGGCCGAAAACTAGACCTGTTTCGTCACTTCCTATTTTTCCGAAAATACCAGAAGTGACGAAACAGGGCTAGTTTTCGGCCTGCAAAGCCTGCAGAAGCCTTCCTCAAGCCTTTGGGAGGCCGAAAAAGGCCTCATACCAGCTGAAAATCAGCTGTGAGGCACAGTGCAGGTAAGGAGGCGGCGGGGGTGGGTGGGTATTACGCATGCATGTGGAGGGCACGTGGGGGGCCATTACTTTCTGGGTGCTGGCACACAACTGTGAGCATGCAAGCACACGTACAATTTTTGGCACAGGAGCCCAAATAGGTTAGCCATCACTGACCTAGGCAGTTTTCATCCCTAAGGTAGGAAATCCATCATCTCCTGGTTTCTAGTGATTAAGGAGTGGTGCCTTAATCACTAGACCAAACTAGTTTGTGTAGTTCTTCCTAATTGGGTGAATTCCATCAAGATAGTGCCCTTTAATTTTCCAGCCGACTTCAGGTTTCCTCTTTAATTCAACATGCAAGACAATCTTTAACATTTATCTTCTGCCTTTTTTCCCCATCAGTGTTATGAAGTAACTACTTAAATACACTTTCCCTTATTTTAAATTTTGTGGATAAACTGGGAGACGAACCTGCTTCATCTTCTGCTTTGTCATTTGTCTACCACTGGCAGCAATAGAAAGACTGTAACGTAGGGCAAGTGGGAGAAGCTGTAACTGAACTAAAATCCAATCGGCTTGCCTATATAAAGATAAACCTAAAACTAGCTTACAAAACATCCGTTCTAATTTCCGGCACAGAAAGAATCGTCTTTCTGCGTTCCTTCTTTCAAGAAAACAATCATGATATTAAGGCACAAAAACCTGAACACAATGCTTTCCAGAGATATTTACCTGTCATTCCTAAACATTTTGGGTAGATACCTTCTGGGGAACCACATAGCCAAAGCACACATCAGAACCCAAAGTATAGCAAGTTCATCGAGCATCTGACCCAGGAAGCTAAGTGTAGCATGGAAGTAGACAGATCCAATCCCTAGAGAGAGATAGTAAATGATTATTATTCTATTACTAAGACATGATCAAATTATTATTTTCCAACGATTGTCCGAAAAATTAAACTTTTATGCATTAGATTAAACATACAAGATGAAAAGCCAAGTTATAAAAGAAAAGCAACATTCACCCTCCAAAATCAACATTAATTTTAATGCACTTGTCCACCAAATCTTTTATTTGTGAAGATTTTGCTTAACCAGCCAGTCTTATAGAAATATTTGAGGTTCTTAAAAGCAATGAAGCAGGGAAAATCTTACATGGTCCTTTGGTCGACAGTGGAGTAGTGGGTGATTTTTCCCATAAAATTTTTTTTACTTAGATTTTTATGCTGCTTTTTTATATACTGTATTTGGTCAACTCAAAGTGGTGAACACACTTAATACTTCAATAGAAGATAATATTTGTAACTCAGGGTTGAAATGAGGGGCTCTTGGTGCTCTCTGAAATTGTTTTCTTGCAGATGCTTCATTACCAAACTAGGTAATATCATCAGTGGGGTTTGCTCTCTTTTTATATACCAGTGGATTTTCTTCTCAGTATTGGTGGATGTTCTTGGTGGTTTCTTGGTTAAGCTCTCATTTACTGTTTGTTTGTCGGAGTTGGTACTTCCTTGTTTGGGGTTTTGTTTACTTCTTGATTATTGCTCTACTGTTAATCTTGGTGTTAATCTCTGCTCATCTGGGTGTTGATTAATGATCTTTGGAGTTTTCTTTTTGATCTTTTTCCTTTTTTTGGTTTTATGATTGTCTCTTTTGAATGGTATGTAGATGTTGTTTATCTCTATGTGCCTGTCGATGGCTGGTTTGTCTCAGTGTCAAGCTTCCAGAAATTCTCTAGCGTTTTTTTTAGAAGTGGCTTGGTTTATGATGCTCTGTTTCCACTTAATACTTCTGCCTCCTCTTTTCCCCACAAGAATCCTGGGAGGTAGTAAGACTGATTCAGTTCCCCAGCTGGCATGTGTGCCTAAAGAAGGCCTAGAATTCAAGTCTATGGTTTGCAGGCAGGTACCTTCACCACTATTCCAAAACATTCTCCCCATTCACTGCGATTTCATACAGGGAAGAGCACCAGTTATATATTTTGGACTTCAATTCACTTCAGCTCTAGGCACTTTGAACAGTGATACAGGAATGTGGAATTTTTAGTTCAAAGTATCTGGACACCAAGTTATCTACCTAACTCAAGATAGTGCCAAGAGGATGTTCTGTAATAGATAAATTGCTAGTTGTGTGGCTTTCTTAATAGAATGGTATTTAAATTACACTTTTATGTGATGACCCAGAGTATATCAGAAATATAACAAAACCCAAAACGTAACTAAAAGTCCTTTAATGCCTTCAACTTGGCTCCACTGTTTAATTGTTCACAGTGGAGGAGTAAACTATTTTCAAAATAACAGTTCAAAGAAATACAGTTCAAATTCAAAGAGCCGATAACGAAGCAAAAACCAAAAACAAACTGCACTGAATAAAGTTCCATGACAGACCAGAATAGATAATTGCCAACTTCAGGAAGATAACCAGGTACAGTCCGTTGGAAGAACGCCAACCAAGATAAACCTTCTTTAAGAATAAAACACTAATTTGTCTCCAGCGTCTGTTAGCACGCAGGTCCAATCTCTTATGCAAATCTCACACCTGCAACACATGAAGAGGATCAAGGTCCTCTCCTCCTGAGTAGACCACGTTTTACCCTGATCCTCTCCTTCCTGCGTGTCCTAGGATGGGTATGGGCCTGGGTCCTCCTCTGACTGCTCGGCCGGCCTCTGCCCTTCCCCAGCCTCCTCCACCACCTCTGGAGCCACACTTCCACTCCCTGTTGGCTGTTCCTCCTCTTCCTGAGAGTCAGTCTCCACCAGGGGCATGACATTTTTATGATAGTATTTGTTTAGCAGACGCCCAGAGTTGGTTATCTGATGAACGGCTATATAAATATTTTAAATAAATAAAAAGAAAATAATATTGTGCAATCCAATTCCTAGTCAAGGAAAAGAAAGAGAGTTCAATCATGCTTATCCAAAATAATAAAAAAAGATTAAACAATTTGATTTGGATTGTTTCTGTGTGTTTGAATTTTAACTACTGGGTATCTTCAGATTCTTATGGGAACAGAACTTGTGGACAAAAAGAAGTGACAACATAACTTAGCAGAAACTGGATTGCTACATCAGTAGTAATAGCCAAAGAAACCAACGCAATAAGATGAATATATTAGCAATTATAGTACATGATATGTTAAAGGGGTCATGATGGTATCAATTTGCAATATTGTTCTTCGGTTTGAGTACATATTTTGCTTCTGAATTACACATGGTCCTCGACTTATAACGCATTCAGTTAAAACAGCACTGCAAAAATGTGCCTTATTACCTTTTTTCACACTTATGACTTTGGCAGCATTCCCCAATGTCATGTGATCAGAATTTGGACAGTTGGCAATTGGCACGTATTTATGACAGTTGTGGTGTCTGAAGTCATGTGATCCCCTTTTGCAACCTTCTGACAAGCAAAGTCCATGGGGAAGCCAGATTCACTTAACAATCATGTTACTAACTTTATTGCAGTGATTCACTTAACAACTGTGGCAAAAAAGGTCACCAAATGGGGAAAAACTCATTTAACTGTCTTACTTAGCAACTGGAATTTTGGACTCCATTGTAGTTGTAAGTCAAGGGCCCACCTGTAGTTATATGCTTAAACACCCACTCAATTGAGGCATCTTTTGATTTCATGATACTGTAGTACATTATTTAAAATGATAATTTTAAACTCCTAATTTTCATGTCACGTCCCATAAAAACTCAGAATAACTTACCTACAACTACTAGCAAGGTCCATATTAAATAGATTCCACTGTTGAAGCAGGTTGCATATTGTCGGAATAAGCACATACATATAGGGGGCAGGACAAAAAACAAAACGTTGCTTATCTAGAGAGAAAAATAGAAAATATTTAAATAAGCAGAAATAAATTACAGATTTTTTTTCTACCATTCCTTCTCTCCGATATAAATTTTGCACCATTAATCAAGTGACAGCCTTAGCAATCATAACAAAAAGGAAATTTAATTAGTGTTAATCAGTGTTGCTATTTTCACTGTATACAGCAGCCTTTCAGGCAAAGGCAGAGGCGAAAATCCCCTTATATGCCATTGTGACACATCTGTAATATATATATATACACATACATACATACATACATACATGCAGGTCTTAGCGTGTTCGGGTCTTTTCCCGTGTAAGGTTGAGAGCATCTTGGCAACGTTTCGATGAGGTCCCACTCGCCATCTTCAGGCTGGTGCTTTCGGCTTTGTGCTTGTGCGAGCAAAGCATGAAGCCGAAAGCACTAGCCTGAAGATGGCGAGTGAGACCTCGTCGAAACGTTGCCAAGATGCTCTCAACCTTACACGACGGGAAAAGACCCGAACATGCCAAGACCTACAAACCTGTACCCGTGAAAATCTACGAAAACAAATATGTATGTATGTATGTATGTATGTATGTATGTATGTATATGCAATATGTATATGTATGTATATTGCAGCTAAAATTGCTCACATTTGCTCAGTACCATTTGAGCAAGATTTTGTGAGACAATCAGGGATCCTTCTGAGTTTGCAGAGATCAAGAGGTCGAAGACGGTTGGTCATAGCATAAGCTCTGCCATCTGTTGACCAACACCCTACCCAGCTTCTTCAGGGATAGTAGATGTTGCTGAATTGCTGGATCGTCTTAATCCAGGTATATTTTTGTATTACTGTAGGAAAGTTGTGTAGAGAGTGGTGAGGAAGGCAGAAAAGATGATTGGAAATTCACTCCCTTCTATCCAGGACATGGCATATAAGAGCTGCTTGACCAGGGTCCACTGTGTTGTCTGACAAACTCATGGAGACACATCCTCTCCATGAACGGTTTTCTTTGTTATCTTCTGGGATGAGACTTTGTGGTAACGAAACAGAACTAGATTCTGTAATAGTTTCATACATATAGTATCAACTTTGTTAACTCTCAAGTCTTTTTTCTGCTATCTATTCTAAATGGTGTGTCATTTGTGTGTGTATGTGTATATTTGAGAGCAGGCATCAGAATTTCATTTTTTTAAGGTGTGCTAGTGTGTTCACAGAAAAAAAGGGACAATAAAGGTTCTCTTATCTATCTATATTGGAATCAATTCCCATTTCCTCTTTGAGGGACGATTTCGAGAGAAGGTAGTAAGCTTCAGCTACAGACGATACTAGAAGAAAAAGGTTATTCAGATCCCTTCAAGCCTGGATCTAGGCCAGGGAAGTACAGACAAGGAGTACTTGCTTAATGGCTGCTCTATTTAGTGATCGTTCAAAGTTGCAAGGGTGCTGAAAAATTAACCACAGTAGTCCTCAAGTTACAACAATTGGAACTGGTATTTCTGTCACTAAACAATGCAATTCTAAAGCATGATATCACATGCTTTGCTTAGTGACAGTAATCCCAGCTGCTGTCATTAGCAAAATGCCACTATTGTCACGATTTGTCCCAAACACAACCTCTTTCTGCTGTAATATCATAAAACAGTTTCAGGAGAACAAATGACTTCATTCCTACTACAGGAGCTACAGGTAGCTTAGAAAATATTGCAGGAAGAAGTTAACAAAATCATCTCCACTTAAGGAAGTACATTGACTTTTTACTTTGTTTGGTTTATCTTCTTTTATGCCCAAACAAAAAAAAGTAATATAACTAAACTTAGAAGACAGGAAAAGTGTACGCAGGTTAAGTTTTGCAAACGTATTTGCATGGTGAAATCAAAATCTTCAGTATTTTCAAAGCTATGCCTTTATTTATCACAATTTCTACAACGATGTAAAACTGTGGAGGTTTGCCAACCAGTACTATAGCCTCTTAAACATAACTGAATTTGTCCAGAATCCTCTTTTCCTAAAGCAAGATTTAAAATGACTGCAATATTTGAGACCGTTGCTTTGCTCTATTAATCAAGGGCAATACATTTAAGCTTTATCCTCCAATATGAAAAGCAAATCTCTTTCAAAAGAAGTTGCTTAACTAAAAACTAAAAACAATCCATTCAGCAAAGCTACAAACCCTTGGAATAAGAATACATATTCATAACTTTGGAACTTTTCTGTCATCCTTCTGATTTTACATATTTCCTATTACAAAAAAAACAAACCTCAACAATTGTGATCAAGCTGCATTTAAACTGATCAGAAATGAACTAGATTAACTTCAGCAGGTCCAAACATTTACAGCTAAATGTTCACAACATGCTAAACTTGGTTATCGTTTTTGGATGGCATAGTGTACTATGTTAACATCAGTTTAGTAAGCGTCATGCTTCAATATATTCTGCAGACCCAAAGAAAGGGGGATTAATTCAATAACCAGATTAATTGTGCTGTGTGAATGTGGTTACCTTCTAAGGCCCAAATGTAACTACTACTGTAATAAGGTATAAAATCAAATGAAGTAACTGTTCTCTGCTGCCTTTTTACAAATGGTTTTGCCATTTAGCCTGGGCCCTGGTATCATGGATGAGCCCATTTCGGGGGTTTCCCTTGAGTGTTTCCACTGCTATTTCTGTTGTTTTTAATTTTGATTGGTTTTGTTTTTTCTGTTTTTCGTTGTTAGGCCACCCAGGGACATGTATAAGCAATGTACAACCTGCTAAATAAATACATTCCTCTTTGCGTGCCTTATTCCAGTTGATTCCTCAAATCTTAGCCACTTTAGGAAGCTGTGGATCTTCAACTCCCAGAATCCTGCAGCCTGGGAGTCGAGATCCACGGCACTTTGTAAAAAGTTTTACTAAAGTTTGAAAACTGCTGGTCTATTCAAAGTTTACGCATAGCAAAAACCTCATAGAATTCTATTGCAATTGATGATGATGATGATGATAATAATAATATTAATATTAATAATATTAATAATAATAATAAATATAAAGGCCTACAAATAGAAATAGAATGACTATGGCAAAGGCAAGCAAGGGTAGTACCAATAGTAATAGGCGCCCTTGAGTGCACTCCCAAAACAACTGGACCAGCACTTGAACCCCATAGGCATTGACAAATTTGCCATCAGTCAACTGCAGAAGGCAGCTTTACTTGGAACAGCTTCCATCTTGCGGGGATATCTGTAACACCATCAAACATCCAGATTTGCCTATCCCAGGTCCTTGGTAAGGACTCGATAGGTAGACAAAAATGCCAAACCCAGTCTGAATATCTGGCTGACTGTGTGAGTAATGATAATGATGATGATGATGATACCTAGGACCTGGCAGCAACCCGTATCAACCATTAGCGTTAGTTAATATTATTTCTGATATATTTTTAAATATTCTGTTGACTGAGTTTCATGTTTAACAAATAAAAGTTTATTATAATAATAAAGGCACCGGACGACGTTAACATCCTCACAGGTCAAAATCGTGGCTCTCTAGCCGAGTCAAGCCAGGAAATCGTGGTTTGCAAACCCCAAATTGGCACATTTCGAGCCACAAACCTTCCTCCACCGCGTTACACGGAGCAGTCAGGGCAACACACACACATACACCACCTGATGCAACCAGGTCCCTTTTCTTTTTTCCAGCCCATCAAAAGCAAGCGAGGAGCTTCCAACCGGGCCATTCCCAGGAGCGATTGCTCCCAGGCCCGGTTTAGCGTGCATAGCAACGCAACTTGTTTTTTTTTTTTTGCAAAAACCCTTCCAAAACCCAGCGCAAAACGCAGCGCCGCGCTCTCTCCCCGCTTCCTTTTGGCAAAAGCCGAGAGAGGCGCGGGACGGTTTGTTCCCAAGTTTTTGTGTGTGTGTGTGTGTGTGTGTGTTTTACGCACCGTGTTGTAAAACTCGGCGATGATGGGCACGATGGTGTAGTTATCCTCGCACCAGTCCAGTTCGGAGCTGCCCGCCCGGAGATGATCCCACAAGAGGAGGGCGATCATGGCCAAAGACCTTGTTAAGGACCGGGCTGCTACCCCGCAGGACAAACGCCGCCAAACGGTCCTCCGGCAGCGGCTCGGCTCGGCTCAGCCCCAGCTGCAGAAATCATTCAAAAAAGCCCCCACCCACCCCTCGCCCTCACAACCCCCGCGCGCGACAAGCCCGCCGCCTGAGCCTTTTTTTTTTTTTGGCTGCCTTTGCCCGACTCGGGGAAGCGTTCCGACGTTTTCACCTTTGCGCGCCTCTCTCTCTCCCTCTCTCGGCTTTTACACAGCAGCGGCTCACACGCCTCCTTCCCAGCTGATCCAGCGGGGGCCGTCCCCAACCTCGCGCCTGCGCAGCGGGGGCCTCCATGTCACGTGCTCTGTTCTTCTTCACCCGTTGCCCTTCGTGCGTCAAAACGCGCGAATTCTAGTCCAGGGGGTCTCCGACCATGGCAACTTTAAGCCTGGCGGACTTCAACTCCCAGAATTCCCCAGCCAGCAGTGCTGGCTTGGTTTTGCTGGCTGGGGAATTCTGGGAGTTGAAGTCCGCCAGGCTCGAAGCGGGGGTGCAAAAAAAAAAAAAATGCGGTACTTTACGAGGCCTCGGGCCTTTTTATTTATTTATTTATTTATTTATTTATTTATTTATTTATTTATTTATTTGATTTGATTTGCCAATTGTTTACAAGATAATAAGTATAAGTGTATAACATAGTTGTGTATTTTTCTGTGTATTTTATTTTTGTGTATTTTATTTTGTATTTTTCTGTGTTTATCTTTGGGCACAGGAGCCTTGGTCCATTTTAGCCGCCCTGGCTTGCAGTTGGAACCCGTTTCTTTTAAAATGTTTTTTTTTTTAATACTTCTTCCCGTTTCTGTGCCATCAAAACTATAATTTCTTTTCCTACATGGGAGGGGAGACTTGAACTCCAAAAGGAACCGCTCAAAAGAGTTGTATGGCCTTTGTGCAGTGCAAATGATACTTCAGGGAGCATGTTTCTTATTGTGCGGAGGAAACGATAAAAAATTGGAAACAATTCCGTTGCATGTATTTGAAAGGCCAAGTTGGTGGTTTTTGGGTGTTCCCTGCAAATGAAGAACTCGCCCGAACTTCTGGAAGATGCCAGAAAGCAGAAGGGGGAAATATTGCTGCTGCCTGCCATGACATGGTTTGCATCTACAGGGGAATCTCTGGAAATAAAAATGCAACCAAAAAAAATATTTTCTTATCTTTTTCATCCTGCCCTAATGGATTTATACATGAGGTGGCTATTGCATTCACAGTTTCACAGTTTATTTCCCCGTCATAAGGGAGCATTCTCTTCCACGAAGGTCCTCATTTTACTACATAGAGCAGGGGTCCCCAACCTACCGGGCCGCTGGCTTGCTGGGCGCCGCCATCTTTTTGATGAAAAAGTGCTTCTGGTGAGCTTTTCCGGGTAGAAAGCTCACCGGAAGCACGTTTTCATCAAAAAAAGATAGCGGCGCCAGCGCTTCCGGTGAGCTTTTCCGGGTAGAAAGCTCACCGGAAGCACGTTTTCATCAAAAAAAGATGGCGGCGCCCAGCTGATGCCGGTACCGGGCCGCGGCGTAAAAAAGGTTGGGGATCACTGACATAGAGCAAGCGGCTTCTTCAGCTCTTCCAATGAACATGAGAAAATATTTGTATTATATATTATTTCCCCCATTCCAAGCTAGTAGATCTGATTCATCAGCCATCCAGAACAAAATGGAACAGGGTAATTCTGAGCACTCAAAGTGGGCTATAGCTACATCGACTTACGACAGTCATATGGTCATAAATCATGCAGGTCATTAAGTGAGGGACCTATCTAATTAATGCTAGTAATTAGCAGACTGGTTGGGGCAACAGGTTTTCCAAGCCCAGAAAATTGCATATAGAGTCCAAGAAAATAGCTTCTTTGTTGCTTCTACAGCAGAGGCAAAACGTCACCTGTTAATTCTGGAAGATGGCTGTGGTGAAAACATTTTTGCTTTTCACACTATTGGGGCTGCAGAGGATAAAATTCCATTTCTTCCATTGTGTGTCCCAATATTGAGGTGACATAAACAGAAGTTTCAGCAAGTAGCAATCTCTGGCTTTTTGTGGACTCAGAAGTTAACTAAAGTTAGTAATTAGAGGAGATGACAACAGGGAATTTTAGTGTAAATTAGATTCAGAAATTTAAAAAAAAATCCTGAAAAAATGGCAGTGGAAAGCAATTTCCATACTCTCACCAAGAAAACTATGCAATTCTCAATTACCAGGAGTTCAGCTCAATTTAAGGGTGTCTTCATTTTAACAGAGAGGGGGTAAATTTTCCCAGCATAACAAAATAACAGTGGAAGTGACCAACTGCCCTAACAAATTTCCTGTCTTACAGGAAAAAACTTCAGCACAAAAACATGATGTGTAGAAAATGACCAGGCTCAACCCAAGGGAGGGGTCAAAAACAGGGGTGGGATTCAAATTTTTTAACAACCGGTTCTGTGGGCATCGCTTAGGTAGTAGGCGTGGCTTGGTGGTCATGTGACTGGGTGGGCGTGGCTTGGTGGTCATGTTATTGGCTGGGTGTGGCCAACTCAATATCACTCACATTGAGGCACGCATCTCCTTGTCTGGCCTCTCATGACTGTGGGGATGCTGCAACAGTCATAAGTGTGAAAAATGGTCATGTCACTTTTTTCAGTGCCATTGTAACTTTGAATGGTCACTCCACACAAGCAAAGTACCAGCAAAGGAGGGGAAAAAAACTCCAGAGAAGTCCCTGAGACAGGAAATCTAGTCCTGCCAAGAATGTAATAAGGGTTAACGGAGAGGCAGTTTCTGTAAGCAACACCAGAATGTTTCCTTCCTGCCTTCCTTACAGGATTAGGCCAGTAATTTCTTCTAACAACTGGTTTCCAAACTGCTTAGAATGTTAACAGGTCTAGCGAATAGGTGCGAACTGGTAGAATCCCACCCCTGGTCAAAAAGCATTATCAGTTGAGTTTCTTTGCCCTCACAAGAGATCTAAGTCTAGGCCATCTTGAATTCCTTATCTACCACTAAATTGCTTTGACTTTGAGGAGTCCAGATTCTTGTAGATAACTTAAGCTTGCCATAGACTTTTATACCCATTTGCATTACTGGATCTCCTGATTTCTCTGGCGCTTGGCAAGATGTTTATCAATATTTTCTGGTTTGGAAGAAACTTGACATTAACTTACCACAAACTTCATAGTAATCTGGGAGTGCTATCTTCATAGGTGTGCCTTGGACGCTCCTGTTATTTCAGTTCTTTTGAAAGCCACAGGGTCCTGTGGCAATGCCATGCTGTCATGGAAGCAGTTAGTAGCAATTATTTCCATCTAAATTATTCAGTTCTGTTTATATGACATCTTAGTATCTTTATGACAGTAAGGTTTTAAAGAAGACAGGTTTTCTATGGCTTTTACTGTTTCACTGTTCAATATTGAGTCAAAATGATTTTTTATTCTATTCATGGCATATTTAAAAAAGGAAAAATGAGACTGTCAGTTTAATCCTCTTCAGTATTTAATGCATATTAAATATTCATAGAGCAGACATCACTGACATAATTTTCCCTACTTGAAATGGTAGAAAGCTGTGCGTAGGAATAAAAGAAAAATGCCAATGCCTAACAGGATCATTTTCTCTCTTTCCCTCTCTCCCTCTCCATATATTATTGACTAACACAGGTCACAGGACAGGGTGAACAAATAAAACTGAATAAAGAGTATTTCTAAAGTCTTGCTATGCATTTTATGTACAATCAGCTATAAAATTAATCTGCAGAAATTATATCTGAGAGCAAGCTGTTCATGAAATGGGAGACATCAATGCAGAGTCAAGGGTGTGAAATTATTGTTAAGGCCTTTGACTTTGTCATATGTCTGGGTTGGGTTCATAGATCAATATAAAAGTAAAATGAATGACTTTTCAAATTTTGTCAGAGAGACTGATTCTGCCAACTTGTTCAAAAAGAAGCAGAAATGCCCAAATTTATATGGGCTGGAGGGGGGGGGGGGGAAGAAGGAGAGAACTCACACAACAATAAGCAGATAATTATTACAATTTCCAAAAAGTTAATTTGTATCAGATCTAAACATTGGTCTGTCTAATCCAGTATTTTGTACCTTAGTAGCAGTGGAGCTTCATAAATAGACCTTTTTACTGAAGCTTTTCAGACCTTTCATATGCCTATATGCTATCTTCTCTAACTGTGGCCTTTCCCTCAGATGAAGAAAATGTCCAATGAGTATTTCCTTGTTACCTTGTTTGTCTTCACAACCTTTTTTTTTGCAAAGCATACTTTTCACCACCCCCTCAGGATACGTCTTAATAGAAAAGAACAGAGAGTCACAAACTGGTCAGTATTCATTGCTCTAGAATATCAGCCACATCTTATGGGTGGAATAGAAATTCAATGACCAAGTAGATAATTGCTTAATTAAAGGTAATAATATAGTAAATGGATTCTTTGCCCATCAAGGGGCAGTCAGCCAATCAGCCCTGTCAATAACTGGGCCCTGTGCCATTTAGGGTTTTGTGGCCAAAACTGGCATCACCCAAAGCAATCAAATCACACTGAAGATACGTGATTTTATCAGGCATGAAAACACTGAATTCCTGGCAAAGCCTTGTTGGGCAGCCCTGATCAAACTGTAGCATATATATTTCTGCCTTACGACATTGTAAATGCAAGACAAGGAAAAGGTCAACAGAGTGTAAAATTACAGCATAATGTTGGAATCAGGGGTGGGCTGCTGGGAGTTGGCAGGGATTTGGGAGAGCCCCTAGCTAAGATTCTGTCCCCAAATGGAACCCCCAAATCCCACTCCTGGCTGTCTCAGTGCACCCTTCCCCTCCCCTCCCAGGAGTCCCCACATAGTCCATTTTGGATGCAGGTAAGTGCAGGGCATGTGCAGAGACTCGGGGAGGGTGAAAAACGGGCCTCCCAGAAGTTTGGGAAGGCCGGAAACAGGCCTGTTTCCGGCTTCCAGAGAGCCTCCGAAGCCCGGGGAGGCCGTTTTTGCCCTCCAGGAGGCCCGAGGAAAGCCTCCGGAGCCCAGGGAGGACAAACTCCCCTCCCACTGTGGTGCAGGAGGCCGACTAGGCCACTCCCACCATGGCCATGCCCACCCAGCAGAGAACCCTTTGCTAAAATTTTTGAAGCCCATCCCTGGTTG